TCGGCATAAAATTCGACACTACTTTAACTGTTATGATTCACTTCAATATCCTTTGCTATTTCCAAACGGGGAGCCGGGTTGGTACCAAGACATCAAGAGAAACAGGGTTGAAAATAGTGTAATAAGCAAATTGATACGTACAACTGCAACCACCCGGGATTTTTCACAATTCAATTCTGCAGAGGATATCATCATAAATGAACACCATGGTAAAAATTAAATTTTTTTATATAAATGCATTTTTTAATCTAAAATATTGCATATAACTATTATTTAATATATATTATTATATTTTTTAACAGGAATTAGCCGAACCCAAGCATCAAAAGTATCGTGCCGAGAATATTATTGTTACAAGCTCCAAATTCGATCGTCAAGTAAATCAATAATTCTTTGGGCTGGACGACTGCTACAACAATATGTTGTGGACATGTATATAAAGCTCGAAACTACTAGGCTTGATTTCTATAGGACACAACAATCACGTATCCGATCATAATTATATCAGGGTATTGTTGACACTATAAATATAGGTGAAACAAGAGGAGATAAAGTTGGAAAAAGAATTGTCATCCCTGAATCATTTATTGGTGGCCCACGAGACATGCGATGTTGTTATTTGGATGCTAGGCATTAGTTCAACGTTTTGGAAAGCCAGATATCTTTTTAACAATGACATGCAATTCTGAATGGAAAGAAATAAAAGACCAACTCCAAGAAGGTCAACGTCCTCAAGATAGACCCGATCTCACAACAAGGGTTTTCAGAGGAAAGCTAATGGACCTGAAAGATCAAATATTGAAGAAACAGATTCTTGGGAAAGTTGCAGCTTATGTTTATGTGATCGAATTTCAGAAAAGAGGACTTCCACATGCTCACATGTTAATTATATTGAAAAGTGGTTACAAAATCACAAATGCTGACCAGTATGACAAATATGTCCAGGTAGAAATCCCAGACAAAGAAACAAATTTTTCTCTTTATGAGGAAGTTGTTGTTAGACACGTGCTACATGGACCATGTGGAGAATATCACAAGAAATCTCCTTGCATGATAAACAGAACATGTCGATTCCATTATCCAAGATAATTTTCCTCGAAAACAATGCAAGGAAATGATGCATATCCAATATATAGAAGAAGAAACGATGGAAACAAGGTATACACCATTATTATTCTTATTAACATTGATTTCCTTGACTCTGAATATTACTATGTAACAATTAGTCAAATTTTTTCAATTCCAAATTTCATAGGTAAAAGTTCGAAACGCAACATTTGATAACAGATGGGTAGTTCCTTACAATCCATATTTGCTACTACGATATAATTGTCATATCAATGTAGAGATTTGCTCTGGTTTGAAAGCTGTTAAATATTTATATAAGTATATCTACAAAGGTCATGACAGAGCAGCTATCTACATATCTCATGATGATGAGAACAGGATAATAAATAAAATACGAGAATTTCAAGATGCACAATGGGTATCTGCACAAGAAGCTTTATGGAGAATTTATGAATTCCAATTGAATGAAATGTCACCAGCTGTCATCAACTTACAACTTCACCTCCCGAATCAACAATCAGTATCTTATTGGGAAAACCAAGATTTGAACAGAGTTATTCAATTGGATCACGTCTCAAGGATAATGTTGACAGAATATTTCAAAATGTGTAACAACAATGAAGATGCAACAGGGTTTTTGTATCGAGAATTTCCAGAACACTACGTTTGGAATAGGCAGGCCCGTGTATGGACAAAGAGGAAAAAAGGAGAAAGTGATATCATGCATTGCAGGTGCCAACCCAGGTGAGGGGGAAATATATTATCTTCATTTATTATTGAATCATGTAAGGGGGCCAAAGTCTTTTGAGTGCCTCATGAATGTTAGTGGAAGTCAATTTTGGACATTTAAAGAAGCAGCCCAAAAAAGAGAGCTTCTTGAGTCCGATCAAAGCATCATTGAATGCTTAGATGAAGCAGTTGCCTTTGAGATGCCTCGAGCATTCAGAAGACTTTTTGCGACACTGTTGACTTATTGTGAACCTACTGATGTCAGAAATTTATGGAACCTTTACTTTGAACATATGTCTGAAGATTTCATAAAACAAGATCAAAATTCATTACAGTTACAACTTCAGCATACACTTCAAGATATTCAATCATTCCTTCAGTCCATGGGTAGAAATATCAACGCATATGACTTGCCTCAACTAAGAGATGTCTACACAAATACATACTCTATCAATAGAAAGGAAATATTAGATGAAAGATCAATTGAGGACACACATGCATCACATTATCTAAATCATGATCAAATAAGAGCCTATGATCTTATACTTGATAAAGTAAACAATAAATAAGGTGGGTTTTTCTTTGTTGATGGACCTGGAGGAACTTGCAAAACATTTCTATATCGTGCATTACTTGCTGAAATAAGATCAAGCTGTATGATAGCACTTGCAACTGCAACTTCTGGAGTTGCTGCCTCAATAATGCCTGGAAGCCGAACAGCTCATTCATGATTCAACATTTCGTTGCAAGCAAACGATTTATCAATATGCCATATATCAAAGCAAAGCAGTCGAGCCGAACTTATTCGACAAGCAACACTCATTATTTGGGATGAAGTTCCAATGGCAAAGAGAGCAACAATTGAGGCTGTTGACAGAACTTTTCAAGATATCATGAACAATTTTGAACCGTTTGGGAGTAAAGTAATGGTATTTGGGGGATATTTTAGCTAAGTTCTTCCAGTTGTCCCGCGAGCAACAAGACAACAAATAGTTAATGAAAGTCTGGCACGATCATATCTTTGGGAAAAAATGCATAAACTACAATTGAGGAATAATATGAGAGCCCAAAATGATCATCAATTCGCGGAATACTTGATCAACATCGACGATGGACTAGAGCTAACTACGGGAGAAGACTTCGTCTTACTTCCGAAAGAGATAGTGCTTTCCTCCAACAACAAAAACTCTCCAGAGCTCAATTTAATCAACACTGTCTTCTCATAACTAGCAAACAATGCAGAATCATCAGAATATATAACACAAAGAGCGATTCTTTCGACTACAAATGAAAACGTTGATCTGATAAATGAAAGTATGATTGATCTTTTCCCAGGTGAATCTAAAAAGTTTTTCAGTTATGAGAAGACAGTGTTGATTAAATTGAGCTCTGGAGAGTTTTTGTTGTTGGAGGAAAGCACTATCTCTTTCGGAAGTAAGACGAAGTCTTCTCCCGTAGTTAGCTCTAGTCCATCGTCGATGTTGATCAAGTATTCCGCGAATTGATGATCATTTTGGGCTCTCATATTATTCCTCAATTGTAGTTTATGCATTTTTTCCCAAAGATATGATCGTGCCAGACTTTCATTAACTATTTGTTGTCTTGTTGCTCGCGGGACAACTGGAAGAACTTAGCTAAAATATCCCCCAAATACCATTACTTTACTCCCAAACGGTTCAAAATTGTTCATGATATCTTGAAAAGTTCTGTCAACAGCCTCAATTGTTGCTCTCTTTGCCATTGGA